CATCTCATGAATTATTACTTCCATCTTTTCACCAGAACTGAAAGCAGCATAAGTAGTTGTCCAGCTTCCAAGCCCACGTGTAATTTGAGCTGAGTGTGAGAGAATAATTAGCTATAAGGATCTTAAAATTACATTTCCATTTCCCTAATTTATTTTTGTCATGATTGCCATCCCATTCAAATTGCTTAAATATTTGCTTGTAAGCATGGAAAAGATACAGCAAACGAGGCAATAAATGGATGCTTCTTCAGTGCCTCCCAAAGCTGGAACTTCTGTCTCCAATTAACTCCCCGCCCCTTCCGTTATTCCCTTGAAAGTCTTTGTGGGAAGACTAGAAGTTGGAATTGTGATGGAGTGTGTGAACCCTGCCTGGTCCTCTTTTCAAACAGTGACTTTCTTTCCATGTTCAAATGTAATGGAACTGGGAGAGAAAGAAGACAGGAAAACTGTACTGAACTGGGGCTTCAGGCTACCCAAAGAAGCATATGTTTTGATAGCAGCTCTTGGCCTGAGTTGTAGTTTTATTTTTTTTAAAGCTGTTTATAAAAATTGATTTTCTCTAGAGCAGGTTACGCAAAGGCCAGGCAACTGGAAACAAAACAAATTTGCAGGGAGAGCTCAGGTTAAATATACTGCCAAGAAAGCCGGGTTAAAGGTTTTTCATAATTTCTGAATTTGGCTACAAGATCTGGATATCAACAAGGCCGGAAAAGACATTATTTATAGAGCACATTTAAAATAGCATCTTGGATAACTTAATGCTTTCTATTCATTTTATACCATACTGTATCAATGATTCACCAATAGTCAACAAGATTATTTGATACTGACTGAGACAAGATGAGTAGTCTAACTGAAAGTATTTATTCTGGTTAATGATATTACTAAAAGTATTGCCTGGAAATTTGAGATGTTTCAATTCCAGTACATTTGTATGATAACCCTTTTTCCTCTCCATTGCCATTGTGACAAACTACTATTGCTTTTTTCATTTTTGCTTGCTCTTTTCCAAGGGAAAGTAGGTAGTTCTATGAGATTATAGGATACGACACCTCCTTTTCAGTTCCGATTATTCTTAGGCCCACAACACTTTTTTCATAATAAACCAGTTATCCAGAAGACGGCACTGGCAAACCACTTCCGCAAATTATATGGACATGGACATGTCATCATCAGGAGTCAAGTAAAACCACAACAGAACTCTTATGTTGTGATTTCAGAATGATAATTCATTGTTTGCAGTTGATAATTGCACTTTCAGTCAATGACTTCCATTTAAATAGAGATGCTAGAAACTGTGAGGTCACCTCTGTGCTCACCTGGTCATCAAATTTGGTTACCAAAACAATCAAAAGATATGCTGATTTTGAGAAGTAATCTATGTAATCATAAAATTAAGAACCTGTGTTTGGTGAGCCTACTGCTCTTTGTACATATTCCGATAGCTTTCCTGCTTCCAGTGACTACTTTATCCCATTGCATTTGTTTCCTGCCTTCCATCCAAGCAGCCCAAGATATGTAACATCCATCCCTACATTTTATCCTCACACAAATTGATTAGGTGAACCACAATTTGAGATGACCTCCCTGATGGTGATCAGACTCCGGTAACCACTTAACACTTAGCCAAGTATGTTCTGATTGAAATAAAATCTTAAAGCCAAGTAAAAACCTCGTTTTTATACTACAAAACTGTAGTTTACTTAGCAATAATATAGACATGGTTCCCCATTACCTTCTTCTCGGATTATTTTTTCAACTTTTCAATTTAGTTTAAAGCCCCAGAGCAGTTACATCCAAGTATTCAAATGAGTGAGTTGATTTTTTTTTCTTGGCAATATTTGCAATGAAAGATACCCAAATGTAATTGTGTAATCTTAGCAAATTGTATGCTCCTTGGAGACAGGATTGTGGCCCTGTTTGGGCCTATGCAAGTCACATCAATACACATTAATTTCAGGTATAAATAAATAATTTAGAAGCTCAGGAGCTTACAGAATTAATAATAACATACGAATCAATCAAGAGACTGAGAGAAACTTCTGCCTTTCAATTACATCTTTAACATTTCTGAAACCTTTACACTTTTAAATGAAAGTCAAGACATGCTGCTTTGAAAAGAAGGCACAATTAATAAGCAGTCAATTAAAATTATGAAGACCTTAGGAGTGTTCTATAACTTTGTATAAGAGAATTTTTAAGAGAAATAAAGATCATAGGAGATAGGATATTTTCCCCTTTTTTGTGAGACTTCTGTATAAAATACATTTCCTAATTTTTATGTGAATTCTCAAGAAAGATGAAATGAGATAAGCATCTTAAAGATTTGCAAGGTATCACTTATGGCTGATAGACAGTTTCATAGTTTCAGGCAAATTCAGAGAATATAAAACCACCTTGCCAAGTACCGTTGATAAGGTGTTTGTAGAAGAAAGTTGCTTCCATTACTCTAGAATTCTCTTCTGATCAGAAAGCTGACATAAGGCAATGAAGGGCAGGAGGAATACTGGGCATCGCCAAGTAAGCATCTGATTGCCAAGTAAATGTAATGAGGAACCCTGTGGTACCTTCATGATTAGAACATTTGTTATACCACTTGTTATGGATCACAGTTGACTTCATCATCTAAACAGATGCGTCATTTCTAACTGACCAAACTCAATGAAGTAGAGGACTGTAGACAAAGACTGTAGGACTGGTAGATTTAGGACTGTAGCCTGCAGATCAACAACCATTTACTTGCATAGGGCCAGCTTTGAGTGATATTCATTGGGTAAAGGGAGATCTAGCCAGTGGTAGCAGAACCAACTGATTTTTTTCATCCTAACCAAATGTCACTCATTGTCATTTGTCGCCTTCCAAGTTTATCTTACTCTTTTAAAAAGACCATATGGCAATGAATTCCATAAGTAAATTACACGTAGTCTGAAGGCATGCCTCCTTTGATCTGCCCTGTCTCCTGCTGAGTGTGTGTCTGTCTATCTGTGTGTGTGTGTGTGTGTGTGTGTGTGTGTGTGTGTGTGTGTGCCTTTGAGTCAGTGTTTGACTTCTTGCAACTGCCTGGATTAATCTTGGCAAGATTTTTCAGAAGTGGTTTGCTATTGTCTCCTTCCTAGGGCTGAGAGAGAGTGGCTGGCCTAAAATTACCTAGCTGGCTTTGTGTCTAAGCCAGGATTAGAACTCACAGTCTTCTGATTTTTAGTCTGGTGCTTTAAACACTACTCCAAACTGCTGACAGTTACTGTAGTACATTCATGGAGTAGGCATGGACTTGGACAGAAAGGAACTTTGGTTGATAGCCTTGGTCATGAAGCTTGTTGGGTGTCTTTGAGCAAATCTGTGCCTGCACAGAGATAGTGAAGATAGAACAAGAGAGACAGATATTCTTTTAAAGGGAGGCCAAGACACAAACCAGAGCCACTATTAAATTATTGCTAATCAAGATGCCTGAGTTTTACTCTTTTCAGAACAAATCATTTCCATTCATCTTCTACAAGTTTTCCTCTCTGGACCTAATTTAAACTAACATGAGAGATCCTGATCTGCTTTTCTTTTTAATTATGCTTAGGTATATCTGTGGGACTCTGCTTTAGGTCAGGGTCTTGATATTGAGAGAGGAGGCATGCTCTTTTTTCCATGTGATATTTATCTCGCTTTCTCTCCCCACACATTCTTCATAATCATGGGACAGGGAAGAGGAATTACTGGTAGATTCAACACAGTTACTGGCTTGTTGTCTTCAGAGCTAAGAGCATCCTTGAGCAGAGATTTGGAATAGTTCATATATGAGGATTAAGTGTTTTCCCCTTTCTCTTTATAGCAAAGCTTGGATTCAAATTGGACCTCTTTGCCACTGTGTTTAAAACAAGCCAAGAAGACCAGAATGTGGATTCTCTGATCTAGTTTACATTTCAAATCCTATTAAAATATTATTTTATTCACATGAAGGCTGCCCACCTTTTTTGCGAGGAAGGGATTCTATGTCAGAGCCATAATACTGGACAGTAACCCATTATACAGATGCCTTGATGAGATTACCAACCGATTGTCTACGATTAACTGGCAAATGTGACATATGCTGCAAATTCTTATAACACCTTATATATGCTGACTTTCAGGGGGCTAATTATACAGTACAAAGAGATTAAAACAATTGCAATCACAATAGCTGTCTGAAACGAAAAAGATTTCAAAAGTGGAACGAGTCTGGCTTCCAAGGGAGCATATTTTCTGCTTTAGGAGTCACACCGGAGAAGACCCTCTCCTATGCGCCCACCCCACAAATGGATCTCAAACAAGAAGGATATATTTTTAAGTGGCCCTAATGTGCAGGCAAACTCACATCAATATAGAGAATCTCTCGGTAGAATTAGGTCCTATGTCGTTCAGGGCTTTAAACCAACCCTTACATTGTGTTCAGAAATTAAACCAACACCTTACATTGTGTTCAGAAAACAGCTGACAAGCGACATGGGAAAAACATACTTTCTGAATTATGCACCACTGAGCAGGCAAGTTGCTGCATTTTTATTATTATTTTTTATCAAGGGAAGCTTGAAACCAGTTCTCTGTGATAACCCTCGTATGGATATTAAAGTTTCTGAAAATTTGCTGAAAGTTAAGTAGTCACGAGGGGCATTCAGTTAGGATTCCCCAGCCCTGGTGCTAAGGCAGAGGAACAAAGCAATCCAGCTGCTTTGAAAGAACAGGAGTTTGAACTGAAAATGCAAGGACGAGAAGGGAGAACGAACGGGATTGTTCCAGCGAAGGAAGTCTCTGGCTGCAGGGATGCTGGCGAAAGTGTCTGGAGTGCTGACTCAGAGAGCGCCTGGTGGCCGGCGACTGACCTTTGGCCCCTTTGCTTCCTCCTCCTTCCTGCCCAAAACCTCTTCGGCTTTCCAGAGGGAGGAGAATCCCAGCTCCTCAAGTCTTTGATTGGTTAAAAAAGTCAAGTCTAGCCCAGAATAAAAGGTAAGAGGGAGCATCTCGTCAGCTGGCCTGCCACTCTCAGCATGAGCACCTTGGCCTTGTATCGCGGCATCTACACCCAAGAGAGCTTCCAACAAGTCTATGGGGTGCCCCTGGAGCCGGAGAGCAGCCTAGCAGGGATGGTGAAGGGCAGGCTGAGCCGCTGCTGCCGCTGCTCCAGATCGACAGTTTTGCACTTATTTAGAAACAGGCTGCCTATTGCAAACTGGCTGCCCAAGTACCAGCCGAAGAAATGGCTTTTGGGGGACCTGGTGGCGGGGTTAACCGTGGGCGTTGTACACATCCCTCAAGGTGAGTTTGTATGTGGGTGTTTGCCGGTGTTCATGGGTGCAATTCATTGCGGGGTCATGCAACAGAAGGTGAACAAAAGATTTTTAACTTGGGAGCTCGTAGTCATGTGCCCAAGAATTTTGCAGCCGGAACAGGAGCAGCAGTTCTTTCCTTTTGGAAAGGTCTATTGAACTGCACAACAAAACAGGCAAATTTAGGGATAGGCAAACAATATCCATGACTTTGACTCATTTCTGTTCCATACTTGTCCCTCCATTGATCTTTCTTTCTCTCTCTTCCTCCATGGATTTTTGTTGTTCCAAAATCAGCCTCAAATGTTTTATTTCTGTTTTCCTCACAAGCCTGGCAGGAATGCCCTATTTCTGACCTCCATTTTTTGGGGGGGTGAAACAAATCTTTCTCTCATTCTCCCTCTCCCACACCTGTAGATTCTGAGATCTGCCCCACTTCTCTGGGGCAGGAGGGTTTCTACTTGGAAAGTAGAAGAGCACAAGAGCTTCCAAACTACCCCTCGGTTCTTCTTAAGGTCTGGTCTACGCTCTCCTTTCTACTTGGATTTTGATTGCTGTGTCTTCCTGCCTTCCCAAATATTCCGATTCCATGCACAGAATCCCAAATCCAGCTGTCATCCTTGTACGGTAATTCAAATCTCTGTTGTTTTTCTAACCACCTCTCTCCATTCACCTCTCTTTGCTTTTTCCCCTTCTAGGATTTTTGATAGGTAGCTTCTCTTTGCACACCTTATAATCATTTTGGATGGCTGCCTTTTTTTGCACACTTACCAGGGAGGAAGCCTTTGGGGTTTCAGTTTAAGAAATTGCACACAGGGTGGGTAGTCAGTCTTGCTGCAAAGATTGTTCTCTAGGTTATCTTTCTGTCTTTGGTGAGAGATTGCAGCTATCTGCCGCAATAGATAAAAGCAAAGTAAAACAAGGAGGCACAGTGCCTAGGTGGTTTTTTTGCTTTAGACTGGGCTCATGCCTTGCTTGCCCTCCCTGTTTGTCCTTTGCCAGCCCAGCCTTTGGCAAGGCAGCTGAGCTGGCATTAAAGCCGTGTACATTGCCAAGTCCCCAGCCAAGATTGCTGTTGCATGTCGTCCTCTAACAGTTGACAGAGAGAAAGAAGGAGGCTTTGCCAGTCATTCATAGGTCCCATCAAAGAAAATTAGAGGCGCTTTGAACAAACCTTGAGCGGCGTGAGAGAAGCTATTTTCCTGTTAAGATGCCACCTTCAAAATCCTGCATTTCTGTTTCCAGAGGCTGGTGGCTGTTTACATGAAGCAATGCAAAGCTTTCAATGCATTAAAAATATAAGATTTCATTATCATTTAAACTTCCAGAGACTAGAGCCCAATTCTTCTGGTCTATGACCCAGAATGGAAACAATATAATAATTAAAGCAGAATAATGAATGCCTTTGCAGAAAATAAGAGAATACATTTCCCACCCAAGTTTTGAACAGATAATGCAGGAAACTATGTTCACACTCCCTGCATTGGGATGAGTTGGTGGGAAGCATTTCATGTGGTTATAGAATAATTTCATTTATATCTATGAAACTTGGAAAGTAACTTTGGACAACTTATTGTCTCAAAGGTTTACTCTTCAGCTAAGTAATTTTTTTCAAGAAGTGCAATGGGGTGATATTTGTTATCTGAATGTCAGGAATGGAAAGCCTAGAAACATTTCTCTATTATCAGAAGCCATGCTACCCTACTGAATCTGAATATTTGTGGGTTATGGATAATACAAGAGTGAGAAAAATGCTCTGCATGTGGACAAAGGTAGGAAGATTTTGTGTTCAATTGAAGTATCAGGAGATACACCTGGATGCTGTGGACGTCAATTCCTCTCATCAAACAGAACAGCCAATGACAAGGAATAACAGGAGTTGTAGTTCTATGTCCCCGTGTAGCTGCAGGTTGCTTGTTCCTGCATTAGGTTATTGTTCTGTCAACTCTTTATCCAAGATTAAGTCCTATATTATTGGAAAAATGAAATAATTTATTGCCACTCAGAGTTGGCTGTTATCCTATCTACTCTACCCAGTTACAATACGAAGGGCAGGAGATAGAGCTAAGGCCTTCTGTCCCTTCTGTTACCTCAAAGGAACTGATAATGTCAGCAGTGTTTTGGCAGGGCAACCAGACCTACGACTTAGGGTTTATGTTCTTGGAAATCAACTTTCCAAGTTGATTTCCTAATAGTTCATTCTTTGGCTTTAGAACTAGTGGGGATTCTATGACTCTTTCTGTTTGTTCTTCCTGCAGGAATGGCCTTTGCTCTGCTCACTTCAGTGGCTCCAATCTATGGGCTGTACACTTCATTCTTCCCAGCCTTGTTGTATATGCTTTTTGGGACAGGGCGTCATGTGTCTACAGGTAGGCAAGACCCAGGTCACTTCCAAATGACCAACTTTCTGTCTCCTAACTCTTTGGAATCTTGTTTAAACTGCCTTCCCCAAATTGATCTGGAATGCTTTGATTGTTTACAAATCTATTCAAGTATCCAGGACTAGTGTTTTGGTACCTCAAAGTTAGTTTTGCTTCAACATGCAGTGTATTCCAAAAATCTTACTGTTTATGGAATACACTGCATGTCGAAGCATGAGTGAATGGAGTTTTATTTGGCTTCTCGAGCTGGCTGTTGACAGCTACACTTACTGCTGTGATATGATATTTCCACAGATACCTCATGGCCACCACAATATACCAAATTGCTTGCACATGCATGCTTCTGGATAACAGCATTCTGATAAACAGGGAGCTCACCTTGCATGAGTCTTAGGGATGCACATTCCCCTAGAACAGGAGTCAGCAACCTGTGGCTCTGGAGCTGCATGTGGCTCTTTCACCCCTCTGCTGCAGCTCCCTGTCACTCAAAATATGTGTCACAACCACCAATGTGCGATACCCACCGGCACGCAATTTATTGAGCTCTTCAACCCCCAGTAGGCCAACCATGGATAAATCTAAGAAAAGAAAAGTTTCAGAAGAAAACAGAATGTTTAATTCAACTACATATGCTAGTTTTCCGCTCAAGAAATAGTCAGGCACGGGAAGGGTTTTGTGACTCCCGGTGTTTTCTTTTCTGTGGGAAACGGGTCCAGATGGCTCTTTGAGTGTTTAAGGTTGCAGACCGCTGCACTAGAAGTCCTATCTGTCAGGATTCAGTAATTGTCTGTGGCTTCTGGTTGGGGAAATACTCTTTGGGGTGCTTCTTGATGTAATCTTTTGCAGACCTACACTCATAATATTATGTATATTATGCTTAGGCTAAGTTTAATTTTATTAATGCTTTACATGAACTTGAAATGTGAGGCCCTTCTGAAGCACTGGATTGAATGTTGAGTTATGGTGGATGCTCAGGTCAAGTCTTGCATTGCTTACTGCAAAAGTATTGAGTTTTTATTGTCCATTTCCTTGATTCATTCAAAGAATATTATGAGAAATCCAGATGAGTTCTCCCAATCGCTTCTTATACTTTCCTTTCTTATCTCAGAAATAAGGAAGGGAAAAACAGGAGTGTCTTTTAATTAGTACTGGGAATTTTCCTTTTGGATATTATTCATACATATCAGCTTTTCTGCAAGGCCCAGTGTGTTGTTCAAACCAAGGGTAACTTCTATTTCAAGGTAACTCTTATTGCTCTTTGCCTTGCAATGTGTCAAAGAGTGTTACATAATAGAGTAAGGAGAGGAAAATTGTTATCCTTCACCTGTTTTGGATTCCAGTTCCCATAAATCCCTAATTCCTCGCCTTTACAGTTGGAATTGGTGGGTATTTAGCCAGGACTGGAAATTAAAACCTTGTCTTCCTACTTCATCCTTTTCCCACTCCACAGGCACATTTGCTGTGGTCAGTCTGATGACAGGCTCCGTGGTGGAGCGCTTGGTTCCCATCCCTCAGCAGTCCAATGGCACAGGTGCTGCTGAAGTCACCTTGTTAGAGAGACAACGCATTGAGGTAGCTGCCGCCATGGCCTTTTTCATGGGGCTCCTCATGGTGAGTTCCTGGGGATGCTGTAAGTTTATCGGACCTGTGCAGATGGGTCCAATGGGGAGGCCAAATGGGATAGTACTATTTCTGTCTTATGAGACTTCTTCAGCCAGCCACACCCTTATTTCATGACTCCTCCCTGTAAAGGTCAAATATTTATTTTTATTTTGTTCTTTTAATTCGTAGGTTAAAAAACCCTTATATATATATATATATATATTCCTTATTATTAACACATAATTATTTATCACTGAAAATCTTACGTATAAGAATATATATATATATATATATATTGTGAAGCAATATAAATTTAATCTGACATGTTTCATGTATTGTTTGATGATATTTGAAAACATTGAAGTTGACTTTTGTAATTTTTCTTCTATTGCTTTTTTTAAAATTCTTCTTGAGTTTAACAAGCAAACCAGCATTAATAAAATACTTTAAAATATTTTAATTTTTTAAAAAAGTCCCTATGCAGTTTTCCTAGTTATCTGTTTTATAGTGTTTATTTAGTGAGTATGATAACAGTGAGGCCAAGCGATCCCTAAAGATCACTTAAGGTTACTGTCCAGAACTTTCAGTTCAGCAATGTGGCACACATATATAGGTGTGTGTATGTCTATGTATGTATATATGTGTGTTTGTGTGTGTATATACAGGAAATATATAAATATAAATATATATTATATATATATTTATATATATATATATTATATTATATATATAAATATATAAAGTATATAAAGGAAAAAAGACATACATACATACATACACATGCACATCCATATATTTCAAGCTTATGTTCACACAAGTATAAAAATTAGAAAGTTGCTTCATTAAAACAAAGATTGCTGAGATAGTTGAAGGAAGTTTTAAGGGTTCTTACAAGGTATTTATAAGCCTGAAAATAAAAACAGAAGAGAAAATTTTCTAATTTTGCCTGGAAAGGAGCAAACTTAACAACAGCTCCACTGTTGTGTTTCTTTACCTGTGGAAGAGGTAAAGGTAAAACCAAGCACTGCATCTTTTTCTAGGGAATTTCATATAACTCAGGCATCTCTTTCCTTAACCCCAGGTCATGATGTTTCTGCTTCACTTGGGCTTCCTTTCCACCTACCTCTCGGAGCCAGTGGTCAAGGCCTTTACTAGTGCCGCTGCCTTGCACGTGGTGGTTTCTCAGCTACAGAGCCTCCTGGGCATATCCTTACCACGTCCCAACGGCTACTTTGCCATTTTCAAGGTATGGGACATTCTGGGGCCATTTATGAAGAGAGAAGATACCTCTCATCCCTAATTCACCTGTTCTAATATACAGCTAGATACCTCAACCTACAATCACAATTGAACCCAAAATTTATTTTGCTTCAAAAGAAATTTGTTAAGTGAATTTTGCTTCATTTTATGACTTTTCTTGCCACATTTGTTAAGTGAATCACTGCAGTTGTTAAATTAGTAACACGGTTGTTAAGTGACTCTGGCTTCCCCCTTGACTTTGCTTGTCAGAAGGTCACGTAACCCCTGTGACACTGCAACTGTCATAAATGTGAGTCAGTTGTCAGGCATCCGAATGTAAATCACATGACCATGGGGATGCTGCAACGGTCGTCAGGGTGAAAAATGGTCTTAAGCAGGGGTGGGCTGCTGGCGGTTCACAGGGGTTTGGGAGAACCTCTAGCTAAATTTCTGTGCAGTTCGGAGAACTCCCAGATCCCACTCCTGGCTGGCCCCGTCCTGCCCCACCCTGCCCACCCCTCCCAGGAGTCCCCATGCGGCTCATTTTGGAGGCAGGTAAGTGCAGGGCGCATGCGGAGGCTCGGGGAGGGCGAAAAATGGGCGTACCAGAAGTTCGGGTTCCGGGAGGCCCGTTTCTGGCCTCCAGAGGGCCTCCGGAGCCTGGGGAGGCTGTTTTCGCGCGCCCCCGCCATGGTGTAGGAGGCCGACTGGGCCACGCCCACCATGGCCATGCCCACCCAGCAACTCGGCAGAGAACCCCTTGCTAAAATTTTAGAAGCCTACCCCTGGTCTTAAGTCACTTTTTAAAATGCCGTTGTAACTTTGAATGGTCTCTAAACAAACTGTTGTAAGTCGAGGGCTACCTGTACGGAAGATATTTGTTTCTCTAAGCTACTATGTGTCTGCCCTTCTAAGTAGGCCATTTAAGAAACTGACACTGCAGGGATTGCAGAAATGTTCTTTACTGTAGTATGAAGAATAGCAAAACCTTGAAAGCCTGCCGAAGCTGCTGCCTGTCCCATCTTAATACAAAACAAAATCAAGATAGGGAATTGTGAGTTTCTTTCTCATGTTTTCCGCCATTTTGGGACTGGGTAATTTACTCTTCTGCTAAACAGCTCTCCTGTACCTTCCTCAAGGTTTGCATTGCATTTCCTGTCAGTATCTTTTCTTACAGTTTAGCCATGCTTTGTCTTTCCTTCCCTCCCCAAGTTACTTTAGGTAAAATACAATGGATCCTCAGCTCAGCTCAGCCAGTCTATAAAGGCCCTTAGTGACTGCTGCTGGATGGGTTCAGTAAATTTACTTGCTGCCTTGTCTTCCCAGGCTGCTCGATGAGCGTATGTTAAATTCTTTTTATTCAATGAGAACTATCTCTGTGTTATTCCCTAGACACTGGCATCTGTTGTGGAAGCATTGCCCTTAACCAATATGGCAGAACTGCTTATCTCTGGGCTCTGCTTAGCTGTGCTGGTACCGATCAAAGAAATCAACCACCGCTACCGTAGCCGGATGTGGGTCCCCATCCCAGGAGAAATAATCATGGCAAGTACTAAGCCTTCACTCTATCAAATACAGCCACTGACAGCCCTAAATTGGAGAAACTCATTCCTTAACTTAGCAAATTGATGTACACAGAGTTCATTGCTTCCTTTGTCTCTTTCTTGAGATTATCAATATATTTAGGTTATAAACATACATTACACCCAGTGGTGGGTTCCTCCCCGTTCGGCCCGATTCTGCTGAGCCGGTAGTGGTGATGATATGATGTCACCGAACCGGTTCTGCCCCTCCGCCCCCCACGTTATTCTTACCTTTTATTTGGCCCCACCCCCAATCTATAGCTGCCTCCTGAGTCCCAGCTGATGGCTAGAGGGAAAAAAACTGTTTAAACTCTTGCCGCAGGGCTTCAAAGGGCTGCCCTACAGCTGATCAGTGTTAAAAGAAAACAAATGAGTAGACCGGTGCCTGCAAAAATACACAAGTAGACCAGTGCCTGCAAAAAGAAATGGGTAGATTGGTACAGCTCTGCAAGCAGTTAAAAGCCTGATAGACCAGTACCTCTGCTAAATCCAAAATACTTGTCACATGACCATCAAGCCATGCCCACAAAATAAGCCACGCCCAAAGAACTGGTAGTAAAAAATTTTAGAACCCACCCCTGATTACACCCCCTCTACACATACACCCACACACATTGGAGGCCAAAAGAAAGAAAGAACAGAGGAAGAGCCAGGGATGAAATCCAGCAGGTGCTGACAGATTCTGGAGAACTGGTAGCGGAAATTTTGAGCAGTTCAGAAAACCAGCAAATACCACCTCTGGCTGGCCCCAGAGTGGGGTGGGAATGGAGATTTTGCAATATCCCTCCGCTGAAGTGGGGTGGGAATGGAGATTTTGCAGTATCCTTCCCCTGCCACGCCCTCCAAGCCACACCCACAGAATCAGTAGTAAAAAAAATTGAATTTCACCACTGGGAAGAGCTTGTAGGTAGATCATTGTTCCAGTAGTGGGTAGGACAAGAAAAGCTGAGTGCTGTACTTAGGACTAAACTACAAATGATGTTAAGCATTCCTTTGTAATAAACGTATCATTTAAAAAACCAGAGAAGCAAACAAATAGCTATTGAAATGTCTTTGGGCTCATCCTCATGTCCACCTAACCATGACACAAATGTGGTCTTGAGGCAACTTAAAGTTGTTAGTTATTCCAGTTTGAAAGGGGTGTTTTCCCTCTTCCTCTGACCCTGATTGCCATTTACACACTCTAGTGTGCTTCAGTCACGATCAAGTTGCTAACATAAGCAGGGATGGGCAGCTTTTAATAGCCAGCCTCTCCTGTTGTGGGCAGATCCTCTAGTCCAGTCACCGGAAACTGCCCTCACCGCCATTTTGTCTTGGGCCGCAGGTGAGACTGAACACCTGGCTTCTGCAGAGGTATCTGCCTGACCCATTCTTTCTGCAACGTTTGTCAAGTCCTCCACAGACACCTTACAAACAAAGTTTAGCATATTTCTGAAAAAAGTACTGAATCTGTGCCTAGAAAACAGGACTTGCACTGATTTGAAAAATAGTGCTAGGAGTATGCTGCAGGGAGAATTGATTAAAACCAGGAAAGATATCTAGGTTCTATCAACTATACATTGCTGGTTTTGTCCCCACCGAGTGCATTAAAGATTTTCCACTGCTTCTGTCAACCGTGGATCTTCTACAGTTGTACTTTTGACTGGCTTTATCACAATGGGAGGGGATGGTGCCATTTCGCCTAGTCCGTTCTAGACTATTGGACATACTGCCAACGGCGCCATTCTGTTGCAATATTTTGCAGCACTTGCCCAACAGAAACACAACTTATGTAATGCATGGTCTTCTTTTTAAAGACATATATGTCAGCTCTAGCTGACACAGAAAAAAAAATCCTTAACTCAGTTCAGTATTCATCCCTAACACACTGAATAAATTCAGGTTGCCCTCTTGCGGCAAATATATATTTGAGAGATCAAAAAAATGGGAGAGACTTGATTTTTCAGATCTCCAGATATGAACAGCTGCAATCAATTTTGCTCAAAGATGATGCTGTTGTTGGCTTTTTTAAAATAAAGATGTTGAGGATAGCACTTTTTAAAATTATTTATTTGACTTCTTGCGATAGGTACTGCTGGCCACGGGAATCTGTTTTGCTTCCTCTCTGAATACCCACTATAATGTACAGATCGTTGGACACCTCCCAGCAGGGTAAGTTCCTTTCCTATCTCTATTTTCCCCATTTTGCACATTGGCTAAAGGCAAGGACACTGCCACTCTATTGGCATGGCATCAAAAATGCAATTTCCTGTCTTAGCCTGATGCTCTGGATTGGGCCATATGGTGGTCAGCTTGGCCCTGGAGATGGATGACGGGGAGGGACAATGAATGATCTCTTTCCCAGCACACAGTGATTCCCATTCCACCATTCTTTCATGCAGGTTCCCACAGCCCCAGCTCCCAGCTCTGCATCTGCTGCCCCAAGTGTTGGGTGACACGGTGGCCCTCGCTTTCGTGGCCTACGCCATCTCAGTGTCCCTGGCCATGATCTACGCTGAGAAGTACCACTATGTCATTGATCCCAACCAGGTGTGTGCCCATCCTGGGAGCCTGGGTCTCCTCAAAAAGGGAGAAACGGAGACTTCTGGTCAAAGAGTCTGCCTAGCTACCCATCCCCTTGTCAATCTGTTTTAACTCCTTGTATCCTAAAGGATCTGGTTTTCCCAGAGTCCTTCTTCCTTTTACGTTTAAATTGACAGCCATCTTGAATGGGCTTCTGATTCTGACTTGAAGTTTCAGATTGATATCAGTGACAGACAGAATAGGAGCTACCAAATTCTTGATTCTTTTTCACAACTTCATCAAGTAGTTGAAAAATGCCTCATGGAACCCATTCTTAAACCTTTTTCATTGTGTGCTTGCTCTGCAAATGGACGCTTTCATTTCAGAATCTGAAGTTTAGGGCTGAACTTTGCTGTAGAAGCTCCTGTAGTTGGGTTCTGCAGTGCCCATTTTTTTTTCCCAGCCATGCTTCAGGTCCTGCTGAAGGCAAAGCAATGGATGTTTCTGCCATTTTCATTACTGAAGATAGTGGGGTTTTCCAAGCTGCATATTAAATGTTCTTCAAGTTGGAGACGTTTTCCCGAAGGTGCATTTTGTTCACATTCACTTTAATAGGCTTTGGCTAAGCGTTAGAGCAGACATTTCAAAGCCAAATCTCAGAATAGTCAAAACCAACCCAGATTTTAACTCTCAAATAGCTTTTCCAGTTGAGGAACACTGGAAACTATAATTCTGTGTGTTTTGACCTGGGCTTCCTGAGTCAGTAAAACACACGAGTAGTCCCAAAAACCTCTTTTATTGCAACAGCTGTGAATTCTGTTCATTCACAAATGAGTCCCAAATAGTTGTAAAGAGTCCTTCGGGATAAGGCTGATAATCACCCACCTTTATCTCCCTTGACAGCTGCCAAAGACCTAATTGGCAAAGCCACACAGAGTCCAGATTCAAACAGAGCTTCAAACTTTAAACTGAACAGAATTAACAATGTTGCTTCCTGCAAAGGCCTACGTGCCTTTGCTCCTCTTTTAAGTCTTATGGGAGGGGCCAATCATCTCCAAGCCTTACTCCCGAGTCATCCTTTTTGTTTTAACTGTTCTTGCCTTCTGGCAGCTCTGCGCATGCGCACACTGGGAACAGGCTCGCCCTATTCCACTGCCTCGCTGATGTCTGACTCTGGAGGCTCCAGAATCCACACATAACTCCCAGATGGCCCTGGCCCCATCTCTGCCTCCGATGCAGAGCCCTTGTCCGAGCCTTCCCCAGACTCCAGGATTGGCCCATGTTCCTTCCTAGCCTCCTCACTGTCCGACTCTGCTGCCAGCTCTGCAGGCCACCGGCAGACCACAACACTGAGATTCTTAATGTGCTCTTCGTGAATTTACAGTATTTGTAGAATTCGTTAGAGGTAGATTAGATAATAGATCCAATTAAAACTGTGCTCTATTTGTGCCATAGAACAACCAGAGACCAACCTGCTTTTGTTCTATTATCCCACAGGAACTTCTGGCTCATGGTGTTTCAAACCTAGTCTCTTCTTTGTTCACCTGTTTCCCCAGTTCAGCCACTCTGGCTACAACTAACATTTTGGAGAGTACTGGTGGACACACACAGGTACTTAGAGAATGTTTTATTTGGCACATTTCTTTTTGCTGCTTAAATACATCAGAAACAAACAGAAGATTGCTTGAGATGTAAAAAAAAATGTATATGTTCAAAGCGCCGAGTACATTTGTAAAAGCATGAAAGATGTTTGGTTTTGTTGTGGATGTGGATGTGGCAGTAACAGTGGCTGGCCAACTTTTTTTCTCCTGCCAGGACGTCTCTGTCTTCAAAACTTGCACCAAGAAAATTCTCTAAACTTGGAGGAGGCATTTCAGATACAAGACTTTTCTAATTATATATTTTCCAACCAGGAAACAAAAATAGCAAATCTGATTCTTGGTTGGGTTATGGCACTCCAGCTTTCAGTGAGAGTCACCAATAGGTCTTCCTTTTACTATTTCCTCATTTCCATGCTGGGGGGTGGGGGTGGGGAGTATTTGCCTCTGATGAAGCTGTACAGAGCCTCTGTATGAACATGAAATATGAACCTCTCAGCTTTGGTATTTGATCAGCAAGATATACATTTAGGGAGTGCAGAAATCTACCTGTATGGATACATCATTTCAAAATGAATAATCCTCTATTCAAGATGAATCTGGATAATGATCCCAATTTAGCTAGAGTTCTGTAATTTAGAGGCCAACAAGTCCTTTAGGAATAAAAGATTCCTAAATAAAAGTCCAACAAGTCCTTTAGGAATAAAAGAAAAGAACAATATCTTCCTGTCTTTGTTTATTTTTTAAAAAAAATTAAAGCAAAAAAAAATATTTGCATTGGTTTAAGGACCGCTTTACTAATTTCTCTGGAACAAGGAGATGGTGGAGAGCAAACAGAGTTTTAGATCCTTAGCCTTGGATCTGTGGCTTCTTCCTTCATGGTTTTGGTCCAATCTATACCTTATCATTTTCTCCTCCTACTTAACGTTGAAGTTTCCAATATGGGGGGGAAAATGATATCAGCGTTTGGGGAAGAGAAAGAATTTTAACTAGACTTTCCTATCCAAAGTGCTTTCCTGCCAATGTTAGAGGGAGAAATATATCCCGTGCTTTCTGGAGATGGTATCCTAGTATGCTATCTGGGAAGCCCAAGGATTGCTTTATATTAGCATAATGGTGAATAAAGATCTGTTTATCTTCTTGCTACCACTACCTCTTAGGTACTATGCAATACAAAGAATACTCTTTTTTTTTGCTTGGTTCCCAATAAACCTATTGTCTTTCTGTTAGTCTGCCATGACTTAATCAGCCTTTCTTACCCACAGCTTTCTGGACTCTTCACCAGTGCCGTTGTCCTGATTGTGTTAATATGGATTGGACCGCTCTTTCATTATTTACCAAAGGTGAGCTAGATGCAGGAATGGGTTGGCAAAACCCAAAGAATGATGTTTTTTTAAAAACTACTCCTCAAACAAGAATAGGTCATGCGTATCTATTTTAAGTGTCTGTTGTATGCATAATTTGGATAGCTTTGATAAATGATTGTGGATTGAGGCTGCTGGGTTTCTTTAATAAGTGTTTTATTTATTGGGTTACTTTTGGTTAATCCGGCCTAAGCAATACTTAGCAATGGTAACTGCCAGTGAAGTTTCTCAAGAGGGCCATTGTGCCTTTAACAAGAAGCTTCCTCCTTGTGACCTTGGCCTTGTCTTGCTACCTTTTCAATGCAGCTTTGGAATTTCTAATCAACTGTTCCTTGATTGTCCTTCAGTCAATAAGTTCTTGGGCGTGGGTAGGTCCTAAGGACTAATTTCCTTCCAGTAATGGTTTTCTTTGAGAAATAGCACTGTTTCAGAATTTTTTAAAAAAGGAAAAAAGAAGAAGACAGAAAACCATTAGCGACTAAACAGTCATTTTCAGGAAATAGGAGCATTTAAGGATACGTTCAATGGAAATTCAGTAATGTTGCATCTTCACTGAACAAAAAATAGTTAAATGAAACTAAGGCTATGAGAAAAAATTTATTGAAGTAAAAATACAGTACATATTTGGGAGAGGCAGATGTGGAATGAGGCTAGATTTTTTCAAAAAATATACTAGAATTTTAAGCACAGGCATGGGATATGTTACCACCATTTAAATTTTGCATCCAATTGTAGAAGAGTGTTTTTAATAATGCTTAAATGGCACAGTATAGAAGCCCATTCTTACAGATACTAGTAGGATTGATGTGAACATGGCAGCTCTTAAAAATCTAGTCTGGCACATGGTTAGATATACCTATCATTGGATTTAGGTTTATCTAAGTATCTGTAGCTTGTGTTGTACATATTCTAAAGCTTTGACCCAAGATGTAGCAGTTCAATATCCATACCAGGCAATTTAGGATGCCAAAAGGTGAGAAACTGGCATAGTTGCCAAACACTGTTATCATCTGTGATTACAACAATAAACCTATGTATGTATATATTTAGTTGGGATATGTTGTCTTTGAACTCTTTTATATGAGGTCCCCATCATTACATCATTCATTCTAGATGCTAGTGAATTCCTATTGAGGCTTTAAAATATTTCTCCTTAGCAGGAAAGAAGAACATCTGGAAAAGCTAATCTATATATACACTGCTCAAAAAAATAAATGGAGCACAAGCAGAAGACATCCGATATCTGAATGAATGAAATAGCCTTATTAAATACTTTGTTTTTTACATACAGTAGTTTATACACTGCTCAAACAACTAAAGGGAACACAAAACTACTGTATGTAACGAACAAAGCATTTAATAAGGCTATTTCATTCATTCAGATCTAGGATGTCTTCTGCTTGTGTTCCCTTTATTTTTTTGAGCAGTGTATATAAATGGCTCTGTGTGTGTGTGTGTGTGTTCCAGCATAATTCTGGAACGCGTTGAATAATTTCAACCAAACTTGGTACACAGATGACTTACTCTCTGGAAAGAAATACTATGGGGGTAAGACACCCCTAAGACCCCTCGGGGTGTGTGTTCTGTTAAGATACAGCCTGTTGTGCCTTAAAATGGCTTCTACTGTGCAGCACAGTGGAGTTGCCATGGTAAGGGCTTCACAGTACTCCACAAGGGGACTCCCTCTGGTAAGGGGGAAAATCCTTATACAGGATTAGGATGAATAAATACCTGGGCAATGCCGGGTTATCAGCTACTGAAAGATAAACAAGAAGATGTCAACGGGGGCTCCTTTGAGCAAGGGAAAATCTACTCTCATTGAGGGAAAAGACAACAAGAGTAGTTGGGTGTGATTAGGAAGGAGGAGTTTTTGTCAGGTAACCAAGTGGAGAGATGAAGTTTGAGCAGGAGAAGAAAGGTCCGTCCCGCTAGCCAATCTTGACCTGTTTTGAAAAGACAGGGTCTCTTTAGGTGATTCCTGGTTTCTTTTTTTTGTGTGTGTTAGGCTGTCCTAGCTTGTATCAATGTCACCAGCCTTCGACAGATGTTTCTGCAGTTCCGGGACTTACCTGAGCTGTGGCGGATCAGCCATGTGGACTTTGTAAGTGGCAATAGCACCTGGGAATCTCCTAATTCTGACACCTACTGTAGCTATTAAAAATGAAGCCTTATACTGTAGATCAGGGGTGTCAAATTCGATTCCATTGAGGGCTGCATCAGAATTGTATATGACCTTGGAGAGCCGGGGTGGGTGTGGCCAAGGTGGGCATGGCCAGCATGATGTCACTTGTGTTGGGGGGTGCCTGTGGTGGGCCGAGTACTTTGCCAGGAAAAATGGGCTCTCAAGCTCCATTTTTGGATAGCCTTCTGCTACCGATAGCCTTCTACCGGCCAATATGTTCCCACAGAGAGGGACTCCTCAGGGTGCCGTCGGTTAAACAATGTCGACTGGCGACCCCCAAGGGGAGAGCCTTCTCTGTGGGGGCACCTGCCCTCTGGAATGAATTGCCTCCGGAGATATGGATGATCCCTGACCTATGCGCCTTTCGCTGTGCCCTCAAGACGTTATTGTTCCAACAAGCTGGGCTGGCCTAAACATGAATTTTAATGGTTGTTTTAGTTTTTTAATAATATCGGGGCCAAATTATTTAATATATTTTTAAATTGCTTTTAAATTTTTTGTATATGTGTGTTTTAGTGTTGGCTGTGCACCGCCCTGAGTCCTTTGGGAGAAGGCCAGTATAAAAATTTAAATAATAAATAAATAAATAAATAAATAAATAATTTTTTGGCTGCAACAGCCTCCTGCAACCCTCTGCCAGTGAAAACGGAGCTTGGGGGGAGGGGGTCACACGCAACCTTCACAAGCTCCATTTTCAGCTGGGACGGCCTCCTGCAACCCTCTGCCAGTGAAAACGTATGAAAGTATGAAGGCTATTGCTTAACGCACTGTAAGCCGCCCTGAGTCTCCGGAGAAGGGCGGCATATAAATCAAATTAAAAAAAACAAAAAAAAAAACAAAAAAAAAAACAGAGTTTGGGGGGGCCACGTGTAGCCCTCATGAGCTCCATTTTCAGCTAGGACAGCCTCCTGCAACCCTCTGCCAGTGAAAACAGAGCTCCTAAGGGCCGCGCGCAGCCTTCCCGAGCTCCATTTTCGCTGGCAGAAGCACCATGGGCCGGTCATTCACTATTTCCAGGGTGGCCCCACGGGCCAAATCTAAGCTCCCCACGGGCTGGGTTCAGCCCCTGGACCTTGAGTTTGACACCCCTGCTGTAGATGTTCTTTCTCCTATAACTGTTGATATAAGTGCATTTGGAATCTATTATTGCTTTTGTCATTGAATTGCATCTGTTATCCTGCCATTCATTTAACTTATGAAGTGGTGAAGGCCATTCCTAATTTAAAGATGTGATAGGATGGAATGGGACGGTCTCCACTGACCTCTTTGGAACTTTTCTGTGCTGGTTCAGAGTCGGGTGGCTCTATTACAATCTTTTCAATTCTCTTACAGGCTGTGTGGATGGTCACGTGGCTTTCCGTGGTTATGCTCAGTGTGGACTTTGGCCTGGCAGTGGGGGTTGTCTTCTCCATGATGACCGTTGTATGCCGCACACAGAGGTAACTGTTTTACCTCTGTGTAATAGTAGTAGTGGTCCTTCCTTTGCTACGTTTTATTGCTGAATGCTGGATTAAAGCCCAGCTGTTGGGATCCAAGGGCCCCTTGTTAAGTGTGCCAAAAAGATCGTTCTTGAAAGGGGATCATTAAAATTAAGGCAGATTTTCTGCCCCACCTCTTGTCCTCAGCCATAGGCCAGGGCTAAGTCCTTCTTACATACATGTAAATATGCAGAGTACCCTCTTAAGAATGTATCCTTTTGAAATGCTATCTCTGCCTTGTCCCCAATGGCCATCAACATATTATCTGCATCAGTGGTGGGATTCAAAATTTTTACTATTGGTTCTGTGGGCGTGGCCTGGTGGGCATGGTGTGGTATGGCTTGGTGGGTGTGGCAGGAGAAGGATATTGTAAAATCTCCATTCCTTCCCCGCTCCAGGGGAAGGATACTGCAAAATCCCCATTTCTTCCCGATCAGCTGGGACTCAGGAGGCAGAAAATAGATGGGGGCAGGGCCAGTCAGAGGTGGTATTTACTGGTTCTCTGAACTACTCAAAATTTCCGCTACCAGTTCTCCAGAACTGGTCAGAACCTGCTGACCTACCACCTCTGATCTGCGTGCTTCTTGGGGAATAAGCTATTCTACCTGATGTAATACAACTTTACTCTGTATGCCTTTATTTATTTATTTATTCATTTGTTCATTCATTTTACAGGGCTGAATGCTCTGTGCTGGGCAGAGCAGCCGATACAGAAATCTACAAGCCTGTGAAGTACAATAGCAAGGTAAAAGTGGTGGAAATTGTTCTTACTTACCTGGCTGGGAGAAAGTCTCTTTGAACTCTCAACAGGACTAATCCCTGTGCTGATATGTGTAGAAGCTGCCTTAATATTAGGATCATCTTGCTTTGGAACAAGATGAAGTTATTTTATTCTTAATAAAGGTGGGGAAAAACTCTTTGAATGAGAACAGGTTGTTATAATGTTCTAATTTTAGAAGTTCAGAGATCTTCCAGAAATGTAATTTTATTGCATAGACTACTTAACAAGGGCATTTAATTTTTAAGGAAGAAGGATGCTCGTGCTACAGTGCAGACTCTGAAGTCTAGTCTGTAACAGGAGCAGGGCAAAGATTTGATGATGTTATCCATTTAGTCGTGTGCAATTCTTGGCAATTCTATGGGCCAGGTTTCTCCATATCTTCTGATCTTGCAGTGCTTCTTTGAGTTCTTTTTCTATGTCTGGTGTC